ATTGCTCACATTTAATTTGGGTAAACCAACCAGTGAAGGAACATTCCATATATAAATTGATTAAAAATAAGAATTTGAAAGTTTTTCTTCACATTGATTGGTAACAATAGCTTACTGCCAAACAATAGGAAGTCATCTAGCAATGTTTTGGATTACCTGGTCACATAGACTTCTCTGGAAAAAATTTTGAATTTCTTATTATCTCTGCAACACCTTGTTTCTTTGAAAAAGTTATAAGGAGAGTGTTTGTATTTATATGTTTGAAGTGGAATTAATTGCATGTAATAGTTTTATTTTTTTTTTCGCTGTGAAAATAAGATTTCAAAATATAGTTATTGAAGTTACGTTTTATTTTTTTAAGCATCATAGCATAAGCAAGTAATGAGATAAGGGGGTGTTTATTCACTGGATCAGCAAACGATGAAAAACCAGTGAAGGAACAAGTGTTCCTCTACTGGGTTTTTTTCTAAGTTAATGAAAATAAAAGATAAACTTTAATTTTCTTGTACCTCTAGTGATGTTTCGCATCAAAAGTATGTTAAAAATACGAAAAACAATTTATAACCTGTGAAGGAGCAGGCATTACTGGGCATAGATTTCCCAGTGAATGAACAGTATGTGTTAATATGTTGACACTTCACTTTTCATTCATGATGACAAAAAAAGAAGTTAACATTTTCCAAGTATTTATATGTTATAATTTCAAGAATAGGCTTGCTTTTTGATATTCGTATGGCATATAAATTCATAAAGAGCATTAAAAAATAACCAAAAATAAGTGTTCCTTTACTGGGTGTTCCTTCACTGGTAAGAGCTGTTCCTTCACTTGGTCTTTTTACTACTTGTTATTTGACCCTCCAAAACTTTAAAACAATATTATGTGAGTTCTCTACAATTTTTTTACATAATTTGCAATTAGTAACAAATATGTTGTCGTTTAACTAAAATTACGAATTTTGAAATTAATATGATTTTTTGAAAGGCAAGCGAAGCTCAAGTGTTCCTATTTTATATTCGCTGTGTCAGGTAAATTCAATAAAGAACATTATAACAAATTTATACTTTTAAAGTTGTATGATACAACACGCCTTTTTTTTCCTTTAATTCCTACTATCAGTTCACACTCGCTCTATATATATTTATATATCGTATTCAAATTTTTAATTGTTAATAAAATACTTTTTTTTCACGCTTTCAAATTTAAATACATTTTTTAAAACTTGTAGTGCATGACACATGATGTTAGTACAGTTTTTATAAATATTAATTCGCTTATTAAATTTAATGAATTAAATTTAGTTTTATGGGGGGGAATTGTAATTCTTGAGTAAAAAGAAACTGAAATAAAAATTTTCCTTTGTTGACCTAAATAGAAATTGACTTTAAATTTATTTTTGTTGACGTAAATAGAAATTAACTTTAAATTTATTTTTGTTGACGTAAATAGAAATTGACTTTAAATTTATTTTTGCATTACTTGTTCACATTGTTAGTTCTAACATCTGAAGCATTTTTATTTTCATTGCGGATTTTAGAAGAGTCATGAGAGGTCACTATTATACAAGATTGTTAAACTTTTCGCACATTTTATTTTAGGTATTCCTATTTCATTATGATGTGATTGTCGTATTTATTTTGACATTTAAATTTCAGTTTGGTTTTAATGCTGTATATTAAAAATAAACTTACAAAAAAGTAGACTTACTTTTTAAAGTCCTTTCATGTAAGCGTCAAGGGGTTGCACTGGGGATAATAAAAACAAACTCTAACGAATCATTGCTGAGGAGATTGAAAGTAACAAAACCTATTTGATTGTCGGGGGAAACAAAGATGAACAGTTTGTTAAGAACAACTCCAAGTTTCATAAAGCAATCAAAGTGGTTTTAATGCTTATCACGCCGCCTTCCTCGCTAGCGATTCGACAGATTTTGATAATTTTTTTAAGAAGTTTTTGCACTGTTTTTTCTTAAGTTATTGTCAAATTGTGAAACTTAATGTGCATCATGTTTTTTACAAGGATTTTACAGATTTAGAAGGATTTAAGGAGACATCCTACATTTCAAGAAGACAAATAATGCGACCAAAATATAAACAAAAGTTAAATTGTTGATACAGCCTGCTGAAATTATTGACAAGATAAGTCTGGAATTTAATTATTTGTCTGACCAGCATACTCTCAGTTGTGTCAGCGGAGAAGCAAGGATTTTTAAAAAATTTTTATTTATGGTTTCTTAGAGGATTAACATCAAATTTGCAGTGAAAACTTTTTCCTCCTCGTTTTGTTAATAATAGTTTAAACTCGAAAAAGCCTTCACAATAGTTTGAACTCAAATTATTATTACAGTCGGACATCTATTTAACGAACTTCCCTTTTACGAATTTCTCTATTTTGCGAATTTTTTCGAGAAACCAAGTATATATTTTGGAAATTTCTTCTTAAAATAACTTCCAAACAGTGAAGTGAATTTTCTGTTGAACGAACTTTTCTTTGAAATCCACTTTCCCTATTTCCCAAAATATTTCAAAGCATTTTAAACTTGTTAACGCATGTTATGGGAGAAATGGCCTTCAATTAATTTTTGAAGCCACTGCTTTATGAAATGTAATACTGTTTTCTCTAAAAATTATCTCTTAAAAAGCAGTAAATTCCCTTTTTGTTCACTTCAAACTGTTTTAATCCGTAGAAAATTAAATTAACGGATTTTATCCGTAGAAATTTAACTTTAGAGCGCATGTGGTAATGTAGACTTAAAATTACTTTTATAATAAATGCAACTATAATTTATACATAAATTTAGCCTTTTCTTCGTTGAAAATGTATAACACTCTATAATGTTTTGATCTATTCTTGCTTGCCATGCAGATTTATTTTATGGTTAAGATTTATAAAATAAATAGTAGATACTAGTTTACAAGATAAAAATGCATCATTTTTTATTTTTATTATGTCTGGTGTTTATGAATTTAAAACCTGTTTTGCGTTGCTTAAGTATTTCGAAAGGTGATTTTCTATTTAACGAATTTTCCATATAACGAACTTATTATCGGAATTTAGCGACTTCGTTAAATAGGGGTACGACTGTATTATTATTCATTTATTGACTTTTTTTAAAAAAAAGCGACACATTGGCTGCAGCGTAAAAAACCATAAATACAGAATGAAACTTTTTATAGATAAAATAAGTGTTATTTTATTTCTATTAGGAAATATTCAGTTAATTTTTCACGTAAAAATTTGTTTTTCGAGAAATCAACAAAATTTTAGATATTTAATAATTATAGTTCAAAGGGATGATGACAATTTATAAAGGCGTCTTGCAGTAGTTACATTACAAATTAAATTTTTATTCTAAATTGTGTGCATAAAGTTAAATTATAAATTCTACAAAAAAATTTTTAAGAAATAGGACATTTTTTATGATCCTATTTCAAAAATATGAAAATTTGTCTAAATATTGTATAATTAGTGTGTAATAAATTGACAATGGTAGAATATTGTTTCTTTTTCTTTTTTTTTATTCTATTCATTTTTTTCCCGCAAATGTCATCTTGCAATATTTTTAGCATTGTACAGTATGATTTTCGTTTGATTACAGTCCCAATAATAATTTAGGATGCAATATATATTAGGAATCATACATTTGTGGTAAAATTGTTTAAACAAATTAAAAGAAATAAAAAAAAAAGCCTCTACAAATTGGAATGTAAGCATTCACAACCGGTGAATATAATTTTGTCTTTATTTTCAAATTTCCACCCGCCTCTTTTCTTAAAATTATAAATAAAGTATAACAAATAAAAAATTTCATGAATTTTAAATTCAAAATAAAGTAAGAATTTAAAATAATCTCATCCTCTAACAATACATGCTTTAGATCCATATTTTCTGAATTAACTAAATAATATCGCTCATGGGCTACAGTGGTGGCACAACTCAAAAAACACGATTTTTGGACTAAGAACAGGTGTAAATATGAAAATACACATTCGTTTCAGCTGCAATACTAGCACAACTCATAATTCAACTTGAAGGTAATCTTCGTTTAAGCAAACTAAAGCATTTCTTATGCATTTTCCTTAGCNAGCCTCTACAAATTGGAATGTAAGCATTCACAACCGGTGAATATAATTTTGTCTTTATTTTCAAATTTCCACCCGCCTCTTTTCTTAAAATTGTAAATAAAGTATAACAAATAAAAAATAAAGTAAGAATTTAAAATAATCTCATCCTCTAACAATACATGCTTTAAATCCATATTTTCTGAATTAACTAAATAATATCGCTCATGGGCTAGACTGGTGGCACAACTCAAAAAACACGATTTTTGGACTAAGAACAGGTGTAAATATGAAAATACACATTCGTTTCAGCTGCAATACTAGCACAACTCATAATTCAACTTGAAGGTAATCTTCGTTTAAGCAAACTAAAGCATTTCTTATGCATTTACCTTAGCAATGGAAACTTTAAACCCACTTATCTCAAAGCATGATTTTTTTTAGTTGTGCCGCTATTGCAGCCCATGAGCGATATATCATTAAAAAGTAAATGATAATTAAGATCAAATTCTCCATAGTTTTATGGAGTTATATATATATATATATGTACACACATACATAATACTGAATATAGGTCTTTTACAAAGTTTTCAAAAAATACGCTGCTCTCTTAGTTTTTTAGTTTAATTCTTTACTTTTAATTTTTTAAAATGTACTTTTTTCTCAAGCTGACAAAATTCAATTTACTCAATGAAGAATTACTTTAAAAGCAAATGACTTTAAAAACAAGGTTTAATTCTTCAAAAACCTAAAAATAGACAACTGCAAAATTGTTTTGTGGGAAAATTATAGCCTATTTAGTCTTCTATGAGACACAGTGGGAACTCTTAATAATCTTGCTGTAGAATGTGGAGATATCAACTTAGAGGAGTAATTTCAATACTGCTCTGAATTGAACACGTTATTTTCATAGACACGTTATTTCATGTCTTTTTTCATAGTCTATTTCAGGTTGCCATTGAAAAAATGGAAGTTCGAAAGGAAAGAAAGAAGGTTACCTGATGAGGAGGTCTTTCTGTCCGGAGCCTGCAATGCATCTTCGGATGAACTAGTGGGCACCTGAGGTGGTTGAGGTTCTAGGTCAGCAGCCACAAATGAATCTTTAGTGGTCGAAGACACCATCGAAAAATCCATGTCCCTCAATAAGAAATCATCGGAATCGATGATAGTGGATTCCAACATGGTGAGATGCTGTTAAGATATTTTTTACCTTTTATGGATGACACGTTTTTTGTTTTGTTTTCCACTAGCTTATTAGAAACTTTGGCATATTTTCAGACGATCTTTTGGAACGGCGGGAATAAGTATTCTTTGCTAACCAAAATCGTTTGCGGAAAAGGAACTACTCTTTTCTAGCGTTAAAAAGGCCTCAACTCGTTATCAGAGATTTGCCAGGAGAGTCAAACGATAATTATAAATGCATTTTTTTTTCTTCACAAGTCATTTTGGTGGCATCCAAAAGAATAAAACCCAAAATAAAATACACACACGAATGCTGATACAGAAACTGAAAATGTAACTTTTTTTAATAAAAAAATGTCTCCTACTTTCCATCAAAAGTTTTTTCACATAATGTCAACATACACAAAATATCTTCCTTAACTTTTCTCGACCGCGAAAATTCTAATAAAAGAAGCAAGGATGAGAGCAAAAAAAAAAAAACGTCAGAATATCAAAATTAATAGTCATTTTTTATCCTCGTCCTCAGACACCCCCCTATTTTTATTTGCTTAGTAGTTCTTTTAAATTTTCGGTATAAATATTCACTTTTAAAAGACGGTAGCAGCATGTTGTAGTAGGAGCGAGATAGAAAAAAAAATAACATTACAGAATTTTTCAGTATTAAGAAATGCCGGGCAAATGTCTCTGCCAATCACGGGGATGAGTCAAATGACGTCACGGCTCACGTCACGTCATCTCCCGTGAGATGATGAGGTGTAGAAAAGAAAAAACAGATGGGGTTTCCAACTTTGAGTGAAAAAGAGGAAACATCTTTAATGGCTTTTTTCATGGTGTTTTGAATTAAAACCGGAAAAATACTTCTTTTTTTTTAATTCGATGAAGAAAAAAAATATTTATTTAATTTTGTAAGTGAATAACCGGGACGAAAAATGGACGATTATAATAATCTTAAACATTCATGGGATTATCCATTTCCATTTCGATGTTCTTGCCGAATAAATGACGCATTGAAATAAATAAAAAACTAAACAGCTTATTGATGTTTATCTAAATCTACTTGGAACTAATTTCTCTAATGTTTAAGAGGCCTCCTTCGCCATTTGCAATTTTCAGTCGGCTCCTTAAATAATCCAATGTTGTAGAAAAATTTATATTTATCACTATTTCATTTACTTGGCTCGCACTTGACAAAAGTAGAAAAAAGTTTGATAAATAAAAAATAAGAGATGTTGGCAGATTACATTTATGTCCTAAATTTTAAAATTTTTAAAAAAAGATGCAAATTGTTTTTAATGCATCCCAGTTACTTTAATGTTAAAAACCAGAATAACCAACTGCAGATAGATTTAATAATGGTTGATAAAAAAAAAAATTTGAATCGTATATAAATTTTCAAAAACTGTAATTTTAAAGGCGATGTGCAAAATTCGAGAAAAATAGTTCTCGAGAAAAAAAATTTAAAAAAAAAACGTAGTATATTTAAAATTTGATTACTCAGGAACTATTTTATCGATTCCGCCCAAATTTTTTATTTCGCCATGTACAGTTACATTCTTGAAAATGACGCAAAACATTTTACACTACACCCTACTACTCTGCCGACTATTATTAATCACAAATAATAATAAACATTCCCTTCCTTTAACACACTTCTATGTGAGATTGAGGACATCTAGCTTTGGACTGATACGAAGTCGAAAAAACTACATTATTTTTGTAGATTACTACGCTTACAACTACTTTGTTACAAATGTAGTTAACTACAACTACCTCTTTTTTAAAATGTAAGTGATTACTTCGCTAATTTGAGGAACCGAATTCTGCTGGAGAAATTAATTTACACCTGTATTATTCACACTGCTGGAGAAATTAATTTACGCCTGTATTATTCACACTGCTGGATAAATTAATTTACACCCGTATTATTCACACTGCTGGAGAAATTGATTTACACCTGTATTATTCACACTGCTGGAGAAATTAATTTACACCTGCATTATTCACAATGTTGGAGAAATTAATTTACACCTGCATTATTCACACTGCTGGAGAAATTAATGTACACATTATGTTCAAAATGATTTTAAATTTTAAAAAAATGAGCTTATATGAAGCATGGAGAATTATTTCGAAAGATTTATTCATGTTTACACGAGGCAGTTCGTTATTCTAAAACATTTTTGTTCATTTAGTCTTCAGCGTGTCCTTCTTGACCAACAAATATTTAATTTAAGAGATGCTATCAAATATACTTGCAATTTCGCTCTTTTTATTTCCTGTAAGAAGTAAAGTAGATCGAAAATATGTTTTCTTCCTTTTTAAAATAATATCACTCTTTTTCCGAGTTGCACAGTCGCATGTGAAAGTGATTGTTCGTAGATTAAATATTAGTTACGCGTGACTTTAAATACGCAATTCTTGTTCACTCACGAGGGGGGGGGGTATTTAAAAGTGCGTCTATTGACAGATTCTAGTTCTTTTTTTTAAGCGCAGTTAATTATTTTTCAATTCTAGCTGTCCTTTTTAACGTATGAATAAAATGTGCTTAGATAAAATTATATATTTTATAGAAAATATACTTTTATATTTATTATTTTATTACAGTCGTTGAACAGCAGATCGAATTTTCAGTTTACGACTACTTATGTTAAATTCCGTATCCTTGTCATTTTGAAGCCAACCCAGAAGACAAGGGAACTTACGGATTAAGAATTAGGAGACGTTTTCCTTTGCTTAGGACCTTTTGAGGACACTAACACACATTTGCTGCTACATGGAGAGAAAAATCTCGAAAAAACCTCTCACTGTAAGCCTGGCGGCAAGGGGACTCAAACCCATGATTCGTCAACCACTGAGGATATTTTTCCGTGAGCACTGTGGTCGGTGCGAGTCGGGTGCGGGATTCGTATCGACCAGCCACCGCTGAGATACAAACAAGGTTCAACTCATTGGAAGGCGAACGCTCCATCCTTTGAGCCATCACGGCTCTCTCCACTACTTCAGTATTTCAATACTGCAGTGCAGTTTATTACTTCAGTGCACTTTATTACTTCAGTGCAGTTCATTATTTCAATGCACTTCATTACTTCAGAGCAGTTCATTACTTCAGTACAGTTCATTTCTTCAGTACAGTTCATTTCTTCATCGCAGTTCATTACTTCAGTGCAGTTCATTACTTCAGTACAGTTCATTTCTTCATCGCAGTTTATTACTTCAGTGCAGTTCATTACTTCAGTACAGTTCATTTCTTCATCGCAGTTCATTTCTTCAGTACAGTTCATTTCTTCATCGCAGTTCATTACTTCAGTACAGTTCATTTCTTCAGTACAGTTCATTTCTTCAGTACAGTTTATTACTTCAGTGCAGTGTAGAAGTAGCTATTTTACGAGAAAGGGACAAAAACCAGAAAAAAAGTCGCTTAATTGTAATAAATTTTGATTCCGAGTAATAAAATCATTCCAAAATTTACTTGAATGTTGTTTTGACGGGATAAAAACGTGGTTTTGCTTATTCTAATAATGGACAAAAAAAAATCCTAATAAACAAATAAAAATAAAAAAAACTTTGTCAGCTGTGTTTAGTACATATCTTTCAGTTTTGTGCTTAATTTCGATATAGTACTGATTTGGCTAGTGACTTAATAAATAAAGTTTGTGATATTCATCTTTTTTTTTTCCTGTAAGACAGTGTTTCCCAAAGTGTGGTACGCGTACCCCCAGGGGTGCGGGAACAGTTATTAGGGGGTACGCGTTCTCTTATGTGAAATATCTTGCAACAAACGAAAATTTAAAAATTTTTTATTTGAAACATAGCTAGCCAGGAAAATTTACGATTGCGTATTTTTCTATTTTCTATCTTTTTGCAGAAATAACCAGTTGTGATGTTTAACTTTTGTGCAATTCTTTATGGTAAAAAATACATTCTTTTTTATATTAGCGGTACACAGCGTTACGAAAAATTTAGAAAGGGTACACAAAAGTCATAAGTTTGGGAAACACTGCTTTAAGAGAAAGATTGATCACTCATTTTAAATCTTTTGAATCTTTTGAATCATTTTAAATCTTTTGAATCAAATAGTCGAAATGTCTTAATTTCTCAAAAGTTCTCTGGGGTGTGTCGCCGACGAATGGCAGGAAAAACGTTTTTTTGGCGCAATAGAACGAATTAAATATCGAGAGATTTTATTTTTAAACTCTGTTTATAAATTAGTTTCCCCTGTTACAGGGTTTGGATTTGTTTCGTTACAAAGTGAGGAGGGAGGGGGGGGGAGGATAATGACAGTCACACAAAATGTAAACAAAATGGTTAAAAATATGCATCCTTTTTGAAAATTATTTATAGCATCCAACAGTGTACGAATCTGATTTTAAAAACACTTATTTTTATGCTGTTATTTTATTTCATTGATTCGTTTTCAATTTTATTAAGAAAGAAATATAAAAAGTAAAAAAAAAATATGAATTTAATGTATGAGGCTATCGAAAATGAAACTGCACTAGAAAGTATTATTTTTATTTAAATCTGATGAGCACAAAATACATTGACACAAAGGCTTCATTGTTTTGTATTTTGCAACCGTATCCAACATTTGATATACAATGGTTTGATAAATACATACAATGTATATATATATATATGTGTGTATATATATATAAATACATACAATGTATATATATATATGTGTGTGTATATATATATAAATACATACAATGTATATATATATATATATACAATCAATTCGCTATAACTCGAAGTACGATAACTCGAATATTACTATAACTCGATTTTTTTATGACCTTCTCCTATATGTGGCT